GCCTGGAGTGCCTCCCCGTAGAGCATGATACTCGTGTGTGTGTATGTGTGTCTGGTGTGTGTGTGTGTGTGCATAAAATCACATTCAGGAAACAATCCCTCTGTTCCACTTGATAGAGTTGAGTTTTGATAAAAACTCAACGTTTTATCAAAAGCAGTTGTATTTTGTCAGATGCCTTATCAGTATCTGTGATTATGTTTATTTTTGTATTGCATTTAAATTCTTTTTTTTCTTTTTTCTTTTTTTTTTTTTTTTTTTTCTTGAGACGGGGTCTTGCTCTGTTACCTAGGCTGGAGAGCAGTGGTGCAATCTCAGCTCACTCCAACCTCCGTCTCCGAGGCTCAAGTGATCCTCCCACCTCAGTCTCTCGAGTAGCTGGGACTACAGCCTCATGCCTCCATACCCAGCTACCTTTTGTATTTTTTGTAGACTTGGGGTCTGGCTATGTTGCCCAGGCTGGTTTCAAACTCCCGGGCTTAAGCAATCCACTGGTCTCAGCCTCCCAAAGTGCTGGGATTACAGGTGTGAGCCACTGTGTGCCTGGCCTTAATTTTTTAATATAATCAATTCTTACATTTCAGAAATAAGCCCACCTTGCAGGGACGTACTGTAGTACTCTTTTCCTCTGCTACTTGATGGCTAGTATTTTGTCTAACTGAGGGCTCTGTTGTCTTCTTTGTTGCGTAGCCTCCGTCAGATGGGTATGGCAATAATTTAGGCATTCCATGATGACACACAACCTGAGGCTTCTCTTGTCTTTACATGCTCCGGAACACTTACAATCTGCTACCTTTCGGTCGAATTCTACAAAACTCACCGTGCTTGGTGCTTTGGCGGGGTGCAGTAGCCCTGCTCTTTGGCCAGCTTTTCTACTTATTCTATAGAAATTCGTATACATATATTTTCTGTGACTACTTCTTATGTTGTCTTACAGAGTAGTAGTTTTACTCTCAATAGCCATTTATAAGAAAAGAGATCACCAATAGCCACTATGTATGGAGTGATGCTTCTATACAAACTTACATTTTATCGGCTTAATAGCATCATTGGAAGGATTGGAATAAATGCTGTTGGCCCCACAGCCACCCCATCCTGGGCTCGTAATCTTCCCCAGCTGCTCCGAGTGCCGGCCAGGGCAGCTCACAGCTACAGCCACCTCCTGAGAACGGCCCTGGCCACCAGAAGCCTACACGCCTGGGAGCACCCACAGCTCATGACTGGCACATTGCACATCCTTGCCTCACACTCCAGAGCTTCCTGTTGAGTCAGCTGGAGACAGGACCTCAGGAGGACTTCCAAACTCCTCCTGCACCTCCTGCATGCCTGGGAGCGCCCACAGCTCGTGACTGACACATCACACATCCTTGCCTCACACTCCAGAGCTTCCTGTTGGGTCAGCTGGACATGGGACCTCAGCACAGCCTCCCCTCGCCTGGCGTCTCTGCTGCCCCATCCTGTCTTCCTGACTTAATAAGCCCCTGCCGGAGCATCCCCAACCCAGCCTCTGCTGCAAGGCAGCCTGGCTTCGGGCACATTTTTACACAAAGCATTGCTCGTTGAGTGCAGAGCATTTTTGGTGTCCATACAGCTTGGCGTGGCCTCACCCCGACCCCAGCAATCAAGGATCTCCGTGTGGGGAATCAGAGCACTGAAAAAGGAGAATGTTAGACACTTCCGTGCAGGGCTGACACAGCCCTAAATGCCACTGGTTTGTACCTGGAGGGTGATGCCCATAAACCAAGAACCTGGTTTCTCTCCATAGGTATGAGTGGCCTCGACCTGCCTGTGGCCCCACCATGGCGGCAGCACCCTCGCGCTGTCCCATGACGTGGGTGTTAAGAAAAGCGTGTTTATCTGAATACTGGTTGGTGCTGTTTCTGTTTTTGACCATTTTGCTCGCAGTCTTTAACTGCTACTGAGCTGTTTTCCACCTCACCACGCTGCCTGATGCCGCATTGTCCGCGTGGCGCCGACGGGAGAGATGACGACGCCCGTCCTCTCCTTTCCCCCAAATTAAATCGGTCAGCCCCGAATTTGGCCATTCTTCATTAAAATCTTCCTCTTTCTCATTTGTAATGTGTGGTACCCGAGCACATCTTCTGGCTTCTTGCTCTCCCCCATCCTCTGTGTAAATTTCCCAAATCCTGTGGATTTGGTCCTTGCTCTGCTCTCTGGGTCCCTCCCACCAACCCACTCCTGAGGGCACCTCCTAAGTCCTCCTGTACCATGTCCAGCCCTGGCCTCCCACCCAGTGTCCCGGCCCCTCTCTCCTCCTGTGCAACCCAGCACTCACTCATGGGCAACAGTGCTGCTGTCCTTCCGGAAAACCCTTTCACAGCTCCCACTGTCTGTTGGTGAAGAGCTGGATCTTCAGGGTGGTACTCAAGGCCTCTGTGACCGACTTCCACCCACCTTGGAAGCTTCGTCACTTTCCCACACACATCTCCCACAGGCTCCAACGTCGGCTTCTCCTTGTCCCGCAGAATACGCCTGTGCCTTTCCCATCCCTGCCTCTGGTCGCCATGCCCACTCTGCCTGGACACCTCCTCCTGCCCCCTGTGCAGAAGCTCCCAGGGTGTGAGTCCATCTTTCCCTTCTCCTCCCTCGCTCTCCCTCGCTCTCCCTCGCTCTCGTGCTGGTGACATTCCGTGTACAGCAGTTCTGCGACATTTCTCATATGACATCTCGTGCTGCAGCTGTTTCTGACTACATCATCTCCCTCGGTCCAGGCTTCACATCTCCTGTGTTGGGAGCATGGTGCTGGCCGTAGGGGTGGGAATCATGAAAACTGAATATGCAAACAATGCACTTCTTGGGCCACGTAACTGTGCTGAGTGTGGCAGAGCCTGGAGCCAAACGGAGCTGGGAATCAATGAGGGGTGAAGGGAAAGCAGTTGCTTTTTTCTACAGCTCCAATTTCCACGGAATCCAAAGAGAAGGAGCAGGCCGGGGCCTCACGGGCCACAGCACCTATTCCCAAAGAGTTGTCTGTTTCCACCAGAGACTGCATGTGCACCAGTCATGAACCCTGAAACTCGTTAGGAATCATTATCAATGTGTTCCCCGTTTCTCTAACTACCTGCCTTAATGAAGCTGGAACCTGTGGGGTGATTTCTGCTTCGTGATGTCACCCTCGTGAACCATTTCTCAACAGTCCACATGTCACTGACTGCCTCAGTGAGACGGTGGCTCCCACCCCTGGCAGAGTCAGTAGCAGCTGCTCACCCCGGCTCCCTGTAGCCTTAGATCCTGATCCCATCTGCTCTTCCACTTCCGGGACCCCTGCTGGGGGGCAGCCTCCGCCCCCAGGATGGCTGAGAGAGGAGGAGGCCTGGAGCTGGGACAGGGCAGCTGCTCACGAACTTTCCTGGGGGAGGAAACTCAGGGAGGCTGGTCGTCTCCTCTTTTGATTAAAGCGGCCTGGGGAAGTCCGGTCACTTCCTGAGCTCAGGAGCAGTCCAGTCCCACCAGGGAGGGGGCAGTGGGTAGACAGCAGGACCAGGACCATGGAGTTCTCTTCAGGCACAGAAACAGGGGCTGCTGGGAGAACTGGGATGAGCGGAGACAGCAGTGGACATGGGCAGGAGGCGGGGGCTGTGCTGGACCGCTTTGCCTGGAAGGAAGGACGCTGGACAGACAGACCCCAGCTGCAGAACCACGGGGGCAAGGATGCCGCTGGGCCTCCACGGGGCACTTCCGCAGTGCTCCGTCCCTCCGGGCTCCACGTTCTCCCTGGCTCTCACTGGCAGCTGCTGACTCCGCCCTTTCATCTCACAAAGAAAGATCCTGCGTTGGGGCCCAGAGAGGGCAGATGCCCTCAGGCTCGAGAACCAAGTGCTCAGGGGAGAAAACGTCACATCAGAGGAACACGTGTGTGAGAAGCGAGAAGTGCTCATGACCAGCCAGCACTGTTCGCCGTGGGGAAGTCGGTTTTATTTAAGATGGGAGGGAGGTCTCTGCTTCTGGCATGACATGAATTTGCACGTCACCTCTTCCCAGAAATGGTCTGGACATGTATTTACCAGGTGACTCCGTGGACGTGGCCGCAGTCGGCGGCTAACGCGGCTCTGTGCTGCCCTCACTTGGCCTGGGATCCGGGCCCAGCCAGTGGCTGTCACATCCCAAGGCTCCTCGGTGGCCACAATGTACCCGCCACCTCCAGCCGAAGGGACTGGATGATGGATTTGTTACTGGATCGGCAACACCGACCCGTCTAATGACATGGACTCCCTAGGGAGACCCTGCTTGGATCATTTGGTGGAAATTCTGACTCGTGTCCTCAAGGAATTCACCATCTAAGTGCAGAGAAAATACACATCCACACAGACCTGTTAGAGCAGAGCAAACAAACATTGGCTTGTGTCTTCCAGCTTCTTCTGAAACAAAGTGATGGATATTATACTTTAAGGACATTACGCTGGGGGTTGTTTTTCAGGTTTCTTTGTTTTGTTTGTTTTCAGTCCCTGAAGGGAGTATCATTTTTGTGGATGGGGTTCCTTTGACTATGGTTAAAATGACACATCCAGCCTCCTTTCTGTGTTAGTGTGACAGGTTCATCAGCTCCTGTCGTGCACTGATCCCGTTGGGGGACAGGGGAAAGCGCAAAGGTGGTCAGAGGTCGGGCAGGAAGCCCAGGCCGCAGCCAGCACTGCTCCCACTCACAGGGGACCTGGGATTCAGAGGTGGAGAAAACTGCCCTGGTAGTCAGTCTGACCTCAAAACTCTGCTCCTAAGGTGCCTCAGGAGCATTTCAGCAACCTTAAGGATAACAGAGGCACTTTGAGCGCCGTCTCAGGCTGCCATGGAGTAGGTGGGAATCCCTCAGGCGGGCGGTCGCCTGTGACGGCCTGGGGCACACAGAAGCCTTGCTTCCCAGCTCTCAAAACAGTGTTTCCAAGGTTTCCTAACCCAGGGAAACCGCTGTTGTGAGACCCTGAAAAGACTGAGGAGGGAGACCGGGGCCGTGGGCCACGCTGCCCTGACGCTGTCTGTGTCCCCAGGACTGGACGCTCGGCAAGCACAGGTCGTGGCCCTGTCGTCGGGGACCAAGTGCATCAGCGGCGAGCACCTCAGTGACCAGGGGCTGGTGGTGAATGACTGCCACGCGGAGGTGGTGGCCCGGCGGGCGTTCCTGCACTTCCTCTACACGCAACTGGAGCTGCACCTGAGGTGAGCGGCTGGGGACGGGCTCCAGGGCAGGTGAACACTGCGGCTGGGGGCTGCCAGGGAGCAGAGGGGGCCCCGTGCCTGGCTCACAACACGCTTCCCTCTATCCTGGCACAGGGTGAGCCAGGAAGCGTCCCTTATTATTCAGACTAGAGACATCCCTGGCACACCTATAGAGCCGCCATGCGGGCTGGGAAGATGCTAAAATTCCAGGCTTCCTCCTTACTCCATGTTTCCCCCCAGAAAACACCTTTGCAGCCCTCGTCCTCCTGGGCAAGGCCACCCTCTCCTGGCCTCGGTTCCCCATGCCCCCCACATTCCTGCACTGCCCCCTTTTCCACCGTTGCCCTCAGAGAACATGAGTGCAGTGCCAAAGGAGTGGTTTGGAGATGCGCTGTCTTCTTGCCTCCTGTGCCAAGTCCATGTGAGGAGGCCGCTGAGACCCTGAGAACTGTGCCCCAGTATTGGGTTCCCGGGGTTCTGTGGCCTGCTCTGGCCATTGGGCAGAGGTGGCTGTCATGCCGCAGCCTTCTGTCCCTGAGACACCTTAGACGGGAATGAAACCCACGTGGTTTGCAGCACGTGGCCTCTCCAACACACCTCCAGCCCGGGCCGTTCAGTCCCAAGGGTTCGCTGTCAGCTCCTTGCCCGAAACGCTTCCTCCTGTGTCTCCTATCTATTCTTTCACATCCCCTGAAGCCGTCTGCGTTCCTCAAATCCACGAGTAATGGGACCTCGGGAGGCTTTGGCGAGGGTCATCTCCATGCCCATTAGCTGTGCAAAAGCCACACACAAGCAGAAAGGCCCATGTGTAGCCAAGCAGATGCCACTGAAAACAACACCTTAACACACTCAGTTCATTCTTTTTTTTTGAGACGGAGTCTTGCTCTGTCGCCCAGGCTGGAGTGCGGTGGCACGATCTCGGCTCACTGCAACCTCTGCTTCCCAGGTTGAAGCAATTCTCCCACCTCAACCCCCTGAATAGCTGAGACTACAGGCATTCACCACCACGCCCAGTTAATTTTTGTATTTTTAGTAGAGACAGGGTTTCATCACGTTGGCCAGACTGCTCTCGAACTCCTGACCTCAAGCGATCCACCCGTCTCAGCCTCCCAAAGTGCTAGGATTACAGGCATGAACCACTGCGCTTGGCCCACACTCAGCTCATTCTTATCAGAGCCTCTGATCAGGGAGCCACAGACTGAACCCATCCCTCAGTTCCCTGAGGCCTGTGAGTGCGGCAGGAGTTGGATATGGGAGAACAGAGAAATCTCTCAGAATGTAGGGAAGGATTTCTCCTAAATGCCCACCTGCTCAACTGGGACTATCTCCAAGATCCCTCGCTCATGTTTGTGTCAGAGAAGGTAACTGGGCCAATATTTACCAGGAGCTGGTTACCTGCCTGGTGCTGTGCCACCAGCTGGGGGGTCCACAGGTGCACCTGATGCCTGCCCTGCATGGGGAACCAGCACAGGGGAGTGGGGTCCAGGGCAGCCACGTGGCTGATAGGCCCTGCCCCAGGGTCCAGGCTTGGGACACATTTGCCAAGGGTCCTGGGGGAGGTGGCTGGGGCAGTGGGGGGCGGTGGCTATGGGCTGAGTGCAGGCACAGAGGCAGGAAGGCTGCTGGATGCCGCAAGGGCTTCCTGTGGAGAAAATGTCTGTTCTGTTGCCTGTGTGATCTCAGGGCCCCGCAGAACACAATCCATCACCCATGGGGCAGAACGTGTGAAAACAGCAAGACCGGCAGAAAGTAGATGGCCAGCAAGTGGGGAACAAACACCGGGAAGCAGGGAATAAACACCGGGAGGCAGAGAATAAACACCGGGAAGCAGGGAATAAACACCGGGAGGCAGAATAAACACGGGAAGCAGGGAATACGCACCGGGGCGCAGAATAAACACCCCGGGACACAGGGGAATGGCCTTACGGAATATGAGGAATAAACACGGGACACAGAAGAATAAACACCGGGACACAGGGGAATAAACACCGGGACACAGGGGAATAAACACCGGGACACAGAAGAATAAACACGGGACACAGGGAATAAACACAAGGACACAGGGAATAAACACCGGGAAGCAAGGAATAAACACCGGGACACAGGAATAAACACATGGAAGCAGGAATAAACACCGGGGAGGCAGAGAATAAACAGCGAGAAGCAGGAATAAACACCGGGAGCGCAGAGAATAAACAGCAGGAAGCAGAGGAATAAACACGGGACGCAGAGGAATAAACACACGAGACACAGAGGGAATAAACCTTACAGGGGCGCAGGAATAAACACCAGGACACAGGGAATAAACACCGGGACACAGAAGAATAAACACGGGACACAGGGGAATAAACACGGGAAGCAGGGAATAAACACCGGGGCGCAGAGGATAAACACGGGCGCAGGGAATAAACACCGGGACACAGGGAATAAACACCGGGAAGCAGGAATACTTACGGGAAGCAGGGAATAAACACTTGGACACAGGTAGATAAACACTGGGACACAGGGGAATAGACACCGGGAAGCAGGGAATAAACACCGGGAAGCAGGGAATAAACACCGGGACACAGGGGAATAAACACCGGGACACAGGGAATAAACACCGGGACACAGAGGAATAAACACCGGGACGCAGGAATAAACACCGGGACGCAGGGAATAAACACCGGGCGCAGAGGAATAAACACACAGGACACAGGGGAGATAAACACCGGGACACAGGGAATAAACTGGGGGAATAAACACCGGGACACAGGGGAATAAACACCGGGACACAGGGAATAACCACGGAAGAAGGAAATGCAGGCGCATTTGCTCAGTGCCCGCTCAGGTGGGGCGAGGTGGGCCTGCTCAGCTGGAGCTTCACAGCTGGTGGGGGTTTTGCAACAGGCCGAATCATTCACCATCAGAGAGAGGTCCCGCCCCACCTGGGTCATGGCTGGATGCAGAAGGAAAGCTGTTTCCCCACGGCTCTCCACGTCCACCTGTGCTGGTGACGGAGCCCAGGCCTTCCTACAGCTCCTTTTCTCCTTTTAATCACACACAAGCTGCCCACTTAGGCTGCGTCAAACCTGCAGTCCGCTGTGAGGTACGGCCGTGAGCAGCACTGGCAAATCCACAGAGTCACAGCTGTGTAGACGGATAGATGTGGGTTAACAGCAACGGGGAAAAATGGCCTGGTAAAAGATCCTGGTGGGGCCAGGCGCGGTGGCTCACGCCTGTAATCCCAGCACTTTGGGAGCCTGAGGCCAGGAGTTCAAGACAAACCTGGCCAACGTGGTGAAACCCCGTATCTACTAAAAATACAAAAATTAACTAGGCGTGGTGGCGCACGCCTGTAATCCCAGCTACTCGGGAGGCTGAGTATCACTTAATACTCAAGGCAGAAGAATTGCTGGAACTCAGTGGGTGGAGGTTGCGGTGAGCTGAGATTGCGCCACTGCACTCCAGCCTGGGCGACAGAACAAGACTCCATCTCAAAAAAAAAAAAAAGAAAAGAAAAGAAAGGAAAAAGATAAAGAAAGACTTGGGGAACAACTCTACAAAACAGGACTCAAGCGTTCACCTGGTTGGAACATTTCTGGTTTGGTTTGTGATAAATGACCCCAAACCTCTTTGTGACCCTAGCAAGCGGCGCGAGGACTCGGAGCGATCGATATTTGTGCGGTTAAAAGAAGGCGGCTACCGGCTGCGGGAAAACATCCTCTTCCATCTCTACGTGAGCACCTCCCCCTGCGGAGACGCAAGACTCCACTCGCCCTACGAGATCACCGCAGACCGTAAGAGACAATGCTTTCACCTTCTGTGGGCCAGCAGCCCCCAGCTGCCTCTGTCTGGGACTCTGTCCTGGGCGGTGTGTGGGGCCCTCGGGTACTGGAAGAGGACTGCGTCTGCCATTAGTGGGATAATCATGCCTCCAAAATCTTAGTCTGAAATGCTCAGGTGATTGGCAGAAGAGTAGTCTGAGGCCTAAAATTAGCGACCTAATGGCCGTAGTTCTCTGTTTTGTTTTAATAACTCAGATAATCCCTGTGTCCTGGGTTGGGAAAATGGGATGAAGGGAAGGCCAGTGAGAGCTACGGAGGCTGGGAGCAAATTCCGACTGGCTCTGCTTGCCTTCGCTCACAGCGTTGGGGAGAAAAAAGCTCAGCTTTTGCAACCAAGCCAAGGATGAGTGATTCCCTGCAAAGGGGTCTCCCCAGGTGAACTATAAAGTTCCACTGCAAACCCGCCCTGTGAGCATTTATCGGTGGAGATAGGACAGAACACACCCACGCGGTCCCCGCCTCTCTGTCCCCTCCATCAGCAAAGGGCAGTGATGCTGTGAGTGCCAGGGTCGGAGGGCCAGGCATGGAGCAGGGTGGGGCTCTCCCTTGATGCCACCCTTGACAACAGCATCTCCATGATAAAAGAAAAGGTGCTGCAGGGAAACTCCGCTCTTTCATTTTAATGATTAAATCCTATTGCTTAGTGCTATCTGCACATGTCACACACATATATGTATATACCACATACACCACATGCATACCACATATACCACACATGTATACCACACACACACCACACACACCACACACACCACACAATACACACACCACATACACTACATGCATACCACACACACCACACAATACACACACACCACATACACTACATGCATACCACATACACCACACACAAACCACATACACCACACACACCACATATACCATACATATATATATACCACACTACCACACACATACTACATGATACACACATAGCACATTCACTACAGCTTTTGCATATCACATGCAAACACACACATACCACATATACCACACATCCATACCACATATAGCACACACACCACACACATACCACATATACCACATGCATATCACATACACTATAAACCACATACACCACACACACACCACATATACCACACCACACACCACATACCATACATACGCATACCATATATGCTACACATGCATACCACATACACTGCACATACACCACATATACCACACACATGCCACAAGCACCACAGGCATACACACCACACACAGACCACATGCACCACACACATCACATACACCAACACACATATCACATAAACACACATGTATACCACATATACCACACACATATCACACACACCACACACATACTACACAATACACACATACCACACCCCCACACTACATGCATACCACACACACCACACACCATACCACATATACCACATGCATATCACATATACTACACACAAACCACATACAGCACACACACCACATATATCACACACATACCACACACCACATACATGCCACACACCACATACCACAAACACTACATACATATCATATACACTACACGCATACCACATAGCCACACATACATACCACATACACTGCACACACACACCACATATACCACACACATGCCACAAGCACCACACGCATACTACACACACCACACACAGACCACATACACCACACACATCACATATACCACACACATCACATATACCACACACATCACATACCACACACACACACATTCACATGCTCCCACATCCTTTCCAGAAGCAGTCCCAGGCAGATCTTTCAGTGCAGGCGTGCACGTCCAGGCATGTGTGGTGTGTGTGTGTGTGTGTGTGGTGTGTGGTATTTATTATTGTGTTATGTGTGTGTTGTGTGTGTGTGTGTGTGGTGTGTGTGTGGTGTGTGTGGTGTGTGTGTGTGTGGTGTGTGTGGTGTGTGGTGTGTGTGTGGTGTGTGGTGTGTGTGTGTGTGTGTGTGTGTGTGGTGTGTGTGGTGTGTGTGTGTGGTGTGTGTGGTGTGTGTGGTGTGTGTGTGGTGTGGTGTGTGTGTGGTGTGTGTGGTGTGTGTGTGTGGTGTTGTGTGTGTGTGTGTGGTGTAATGTGTGTGTGGTGTGTGTGTGTGTGGTGTAATGTGGTGTGTGGTGTGTGTGTGTGTAATATTGGTGTGTGCTTGTGTATATATCATGTAGTGTGTGTGTGGTGTGTGTGTGATGTGTGTGTGGTGTGTGTTGGTGTGTGGTGTATTATTAATATTGTGTGTGTGAATGGTAATGTGTGGTGTGTAATTATTGTGGTGTGGTGTGTGTGTGTGTGTGGTGTGTGTGGTGTGTGTGTGGTGTGGTGTGTGTGTGGTGTGTGTGTGTGGTGTGTGGTGTGTGGTGTGGGGTGTGTGGTGTGTGTGTGGTGTGTGGTGTGTGTGGTGTGTGTGGTGTGTGGTGTGTGGTGTGTGGTGTGGTGTGTGTGTGGTGTGTGTGGTGTGTGGTGTGTGGTGTGTGGGTGTGTGTGTGGTGTGGTGTGTGTGTGGTGTGTGGTGTGTGTGTGGTGTGTGTGGTGTGTGTGTGTGGTGTGTGGTGTGTGTGTGGTGTGTGTGTGTGGTGTGTGTGTGGTGTGTGTGGTGTGTGGTGTGTGGTGTGTGTGTGGTGTGTGTGTGGTGTGTGTGTGGTGTGTGTATGGTGTGTGGTGTGTGTGGTGTGTGTGGTGTGTGTGTGGTGTGTGGTGTGTGTGTGGTGTGTGTGGTGTGTGTGTGGTGTGTGTGGTGTGTGTGTGTGTGTGGTGTGTTATTGGTGTGTGTGTGGTGTGGTGTGTGTGTGTGGTGTGTGTGTGGTGTGTGGTGTGTGTGTGTGTGGTGTGTGTGTGTGTGGTGTGTGGTGTGTGTGGTGTGTGGGTGTGTGGTGTGTGTGTGTGGTGTGTGTGGTGTGTGGTGTGTGTGTGTGGTGTGGTGTGTGTGTGGTGTGTGTGTGTGTGGTGTGTGTGGTGTGGTGTGTGGTGTGTGGTGTGTGTGGTGTGTGGTGTGTGGTGTGTGTGTGGTGTGTGGTGTGTGTGGTGTGTGGTGTGTGGTGTGGTGTGTGTGTGGTGTGTGTGATTGTGTGTGTGTGGTGTGCTTAATTTGTGTGTGGTGTGTAACAGTTGTGTGTGAATTTTGTGTGGTGTGTGTGTGGTGTGTGTGGTGTGTGGTGTGTGTGTGGTGTGGTGTGTGTGGTGTGTGTGTGGTGTGTGGTGTGTGGTGTGGTGTGTGGTGTGTGTGGTGTGGTGTGTGGTGTGTGGTGTGTGTTGTGTGTGTGGTGTGTGGTGTGTGTGGTGTGTGTGGTGTGTGGGTGTGTGTGTGGTGTGTGGTGTGTGTGTGGTGTGTGGTGTGTATGTGGTGTGTGTGGTGTGTGTGTGGTGTGTGTGGTGTGTGGTGTGTGTGGTGTGTGGTGTGTGGTGTGTGTGTGGTGTGTGGTGTGTGTGTGTGTGGTGTGTGGTGTGTGGTGTGTGTGTGGTGTGTGTGTGGTGTGTGGTGTGTGTGGTGTGTGTGTGGTGTGTGTGGTGTGTGTGTGGTGTGTGGTGTGTGTGTGTGGTGTGTGTGATGTATGTGTTGATATGTATGATGAGGGTCAGTCTGATAAGGGGAGAAACCTCTGAAGTAGATCATGGACACACTTTTACCGGTGTGTGGTGTGTGGTGTGTGTGTGGTGTGTGTGATGTATGTGATATGTATATGATGAGGGGTCCAGTCCTGATAAGGGAGGAAACCTCTGGTAGACATACATGGACCGCACACCGCTATTAAGGCTTGGCTTTGGCCTGACTCTCCTCCGGTGGAAGGCTACATGGTGTTTTAATTACCAAGGTAAGGAAAATTAAGCATTTCACAGAGCCCTGCTGTGTTCCAGGCTTTGTCATGCAGCCTCCACCAAAGACAAGAAGGTGTGGGGACAATGGTGCCTTTAATCCCACATGAGCTTAGCCTGATTCTCCAGTCTTCAGATGGGATGCTGGCCCAGAAACATTCCTCCTCCTCTCTGTGGATTTCCCTCCAGCCCCACTGCTCCCTCTGGGATGGCTGGACAGGGTTCTCTGTAAGTGGATCCTCTGGGATGGCTGGGCGGGGTTCTCTGTAAGTGGATCCTCTGGGATGGCTGGATAGGGTTCTCTGTAAGTGTATTTAGGGTGGCATTTCCACACCCTTTGGAAATTAAATGGGAGAATCCCATCAAACTGGGAATGAAGAAAGGGAAGCCTATTCAACATCAGGGACTTTTAAAGGAACGTCCTGCAGGAGGAAGAGAGAGGCAGGGGCAGCCTGAGCACCTGAGAAGTGAACACAGCCACAGAGGGAAGGGGGCCCAGTGTGGCCCCATGAGATCACACAGGGCACCCCTGCTACCAGGCTGACTCAGGAACAGAGAGACAGGAAAACCACCAGGAGTGGCTTCATTTTCACTGGACATATTCAGCAAGCCAGAGCTACATGATACCAGCTCACCCAATAAAGCTGTGAAATCTGGTGCATTGCACAGCTACTGGGAATTCTGTGAAATCTGGCGCATTGGACAGCTACTGGAAATTATCTTTCCATTCTTCTTTAAAGGGTTGCCATCATAAAGACCCAGCTAGGAACCCTCAGACTCGAGAGGAAAAGTGCCGCCAAATGCTTGGGGTTGGCACTAATTTGTCCAGCCTCTTCCTTGGCTAATGTGCCCCTGGTGGGAGTTGGGAGAGGGCTAAGTGAGAACAGCAGGAGCCTTGTCCACGCCTGAGACCCCGTGGTCTCCCCAGGGGACAGTTCTAGTCCATTGGGCCTCCCACGTCTCTGTACATCGATCACCAACTGCAGCCTCTCCAGCCAGCCCTCACTTCCAACTGCAGTGTCTGTGGTTTAGAAAAACAAATACATTCTCCGAGGCGCCCTGGGGTTCACTTCCAGACACAGACGTCTTTTATTTCATGGTGCTTTTAAGAAGTGGCAGGTGCTGGTAGGAGAAAAA